GGGCGAAGAGTTTGGTAACGGTGAAATTGACCGCTTGCAGCGCGCTGAGCCGAGTAATTTGACGGCACACGATGTCCAAGCAATTGACTGTCCGCGGCGTGCGTTGAGTTAACATGGTGTCTAGGAGAGAAGGAAAGGTTTGGTGGGAGCAGCAAGGATGCGTTCTCAGCATCATGCATGTTCCTGGCACTAATGGGAGAACCGGGGTTATTGCCATACATCGGTTCTAGTCCTTCGCGCTCCGTGAAATGCTCACCGGTTTCAAGAGCGCGTGCAAGTGACTCGACGTGGGCAATACAACTCCCACGAATGCGAATGCGCTGAAAACTATGCGCAGCTGCGTCAATGACACCCGCGTGTGATACAAAAACCTTCGGAGCATACAATACGGGCCGTAGCCCGCCACTCCCGGCATCCGTCTGTGGTTCCACTCTCTCTTCTGCGTCTCTTGCTTGAACAATCGCAATTCGTTGCATCTCCATCGCCTGTCGTTGAAGTTCAGTGAGGCTTTCCACAACGTCCTCCACCACTAGACGGTGTGGCAGTCCTTTTTTCTCAAGTGTACACTCCACAACAACAAAATCCGTCGGAACGATGATACTCTTCGTTTGCAATTTGCGTGAATTGAATCCCTTCCATATGGAGGTGTCCCCCTCCATCAGGCCGTTCACCGCATCCCCTATGCAACGAATGGAATTCACAGCCTGTTGCTTCTTCTGCTGCGGCACACCTTGTTTTGTGTCCTGCGGATGAACGATTCTCTCCAGTGCCTTCCCGGGACGCTCGTCGCAAGTTATGCTGCTCTGCGACATATCCACATTTGTCTCCATCTGCGGCCAGACGGACAGATACATGTAATCGAGATCTCCGTGTACGCGGAGATCCTTGACCAAATGACCCCAAATGCGCCACACAAGCTGAATCGCCTCCCGCATGGCTGAAACCGTCGGTGCCTCGTCGGATGATATTTCCAGAACTGTCCCCGTCACCGTCGACACCTTTGTCTTGATTAGATGAAGCCACGGTACCTGCGTCGCCTCACCCCTACAAATGCCACACGCCTCCTGTTGGTCTCGTCTCATGTTAAGGACAATGGATGGTGTCGTGGGCAACGGGTCGTGCTGACGCTTCATCGCACGACCAATAAATCGACGCAATGCAAGTATGCCGTCCATTCCAAGTGTTTGCTTCAGTTGGTAAAGTTCCGGGGAAAAATATATTTCTATACTTGCCTTTGGAAGTCGAGTTGTTGGCGGTGGTGCGGCACCATCTCCTCCTGCCTCCGGCTCCATATGCTTCGCAAGATGGTACGGAAACTCCATGCCAAGTTCCTCGTGTTCTATCAAATTACCAGCAACCCAGAGTGAGAGTGAAATGTGATGTTCTTCCGCTGGAAAAAATATGAACGGGCTTCGGAAGGCCTCTATGAGCTCTTTATCTTTTTTACTACAGAGATTCATGGAAAGATTTATCGTCTCAAGCAGATGCGAGGATGAGGAAAGGCTTGTATAACCCTTTTCCTGGGCCTCCTTCACGTTATCCACTAGACGATCTACAACAGAGCCTTGACGAATGGCCAACAGGGTACCATTCTCTCTCCGTTCCGCTAGTTGTTGCCGTGCATCGCTTCCAAGCTTATTTGCCACCCGTGCAAGCTCCTGGAGTACCACCGCACGGTGTTGCTTGTACATCTGAACATCCGCAGTGACTTGAAGTCCCACATGGCTCGGCAACGACGGTGGCGTCAGTGCTTCCGCGGGTGCTGAAACGACGTTTTCCTTCCCAGGAGTCACGTTTAATACGTCCAATGCCGCTTCTTTTCTCGAATTCACGACGTGTTCCTCCTGCGGTGGTGTCTTCTCCGCATTTGCATCGTGGCCTTTGCTCCGTTTTTTAAGCGACCCTCCTTCTGCCGATGAAATCGCCGCCTCGGAGTTCTGCGCCACTACCGCCGCCGTGGCGTCCAACATTGGCCCTGCCGTCTCTTTGTCATCATCGCGCCAAATCTCCCGCACCACGTAGTCATCCGGGCAGGATTTAATGTACGACTGAAAGCCCTTCACGCTCGGTTTTGTGTGGCGCACCAGATGACACCGCCGTTCGGACGGCAGCTGATTGCGGCGACGCTGGGCGAGTGTAAGCTCGTGGTAGAGTCCCTGATTGTACCGCTCGTGCGCCAGACGCAAGGCCACACGAGACTCCGGGCTATCAAATTTACTCCGTGCGTCCTCAATGCTCATGCCAAGGATGAGCCGTCGCCGCCACGAAAGCGTTGACTTCATTTTTTTTACACGTTTGGACAACCGCCTTCTCTCCGCCCACCCACCCCACCACCCTTTAATTTCTAGAAACAAAACATGTGCGTTTTTTACATGTGTGAATGCGATTGAAGGCAGCGGCAGAAGAAATAAGAAAAAGATTTTGCCACACTGTGGTTCCCGTACCTCAATTGTCCGAGAATAATAATAATAATAAAATAAAATAATATAAAATTAAATTGCGTTTTTCTCTCCCTCTTTTCTCCGCTGATACGGCTGGTTGTGTTGTTCCTACGGGATGCCCCCAACCCCTTTACACACTCCCGTTTCTTTCCTTCTCGCTGGCCAGAGGCAGTTGCGCTCACAGGCATATGCCCAAGAAAAGAAATTCACCCACAGAGTAAACCCAACCATTCAAAAGCAAAATCAACAAAACAAATACAAAACCAAAAAAAAAAAAAAGAAAAAAAAAAAAAATACAAAGGGACACTCAAGAGATTGTAACCCGTAAATTTCCTTCACCAAAAAAGTAACGGAAAACATATATACGCACGCCACGCCATACGCGTCACTTTGTTCGTTTTCATTTATTTATTTATTTATTTTTTTTGGCTGCCAGCTCACACATTATAAATGCGTACATGTCAATTTGCTTTACCTGGAGTGCCCCCACATTGCGGAGGGAAAAAACAAACGCTCTCCCCCTTTCACGGTCCCACGCCTCTTTTTCTCCTCCCCTTCTTTTGCTTCTATGACTCTCTTGTGTCCTTGAAGCCGTAGATGTCCTCAAAGTGCACACCGAGCCTATTGACCGCATCCTCCAGTCCCATCTCTTTAAAGAAAAAGTCCTTCATTTTGCCATCAGGACCAACAAGGTAGATGGCACTACTATGGTCAAACTGGTATGTGTCGTCAAGAAAAACTTCGGGAACGCCCTTTTCTTCACGTAACTTCCGCTCCTCATCCGTTTCTTCAATGGAAGAGTAGTACACCCGCCATGCGCTAGCCGCCTGTTTCACTTCCTCCAAGCTGCCACACAAGGCCCGAAGGCGTGGGTCAAACTTGGAAACATATTTCTCCAGAACCTCCGGTGTATCCCGGAAGGAGTCTATACTTAAAAATACCGCCTGCAACTTTGCCACTTCTGGCGCCGTGCTCTTTGTTGTCGCAGCATCGCAGGCCTTCATAACATCCGCAACGAATTGCAGTGTCGTCGGGCATACCTCCGCGCACTTGGAGAACCCAAAATATAAGAGTGTCCAGTGATCCTGAAAAGGTTCCTGATCGGTGATGTAGGCGCCCGTGCGGCTCTCACGCAGCCGGAATGGACCGCCCAGCTGCTGCTTGGGTGTCATTCTGACAGAATGCGTCGACTGGAAATCGGGCGCAAGCTCCGGCGGTGGTATCTCCTTCTGCTTGTCGTACCAATTCATCAGCGCTACGGAGAGCGGAAAGACGGAACATCCGAGAAGAAGTCCCCAAAGCTCCGCGCGACTACGGGGGCCGTGGGAAAAGACGGAGAAAAACCCACGCCCTCCCTGCTGCTCCTGCTGTCCTGTGGAGGATGCGAAACGTGTGAAGCCGCCTGGCCGCAGCAGAAGTCCCCCGCGCCTCGCCGCTAGACGCATGGATGTTCTCTTACTTTCTATCCCTCTCTTCCTCAGAGACTCCTTGCAGACAAACAAATAATAAAAAAAGGCGTCAGCAGTAAAAAACAAAAACAAACAAACAAACAAAAAACAGCCTGAGAATCATCATGCATGAAAGTGACACAAACAGCACTTCGGGTTGGTTGCCATGTGAAGGAGAGCGTAATCAACTATCAGAAGAGAAATGGCAAACACACACATACAAACAAACAAACAAACAAATAAAAAACAGCAGAGACATCAAAGAAAAAACAAAACAAAAAACGGAAAATAACATTCTGGCAAAATCCACAAACGTACATATCTTACACGTTTAATTACGCAAAAGATATAGGCATTCGTACATGTGAAGTCATACATGTATATATATATATATATATATATTCTTCTCATTTTGTGAATATTAGCAAAACCAACAAGAAACAAAAAGGGGAAAATAAACACCCAAGACAAAAATGTGACGCTGTCTCCCATGCGATGTAAAGCAAAAAAAAAAAAAAAAAAAAACAAACAAACTAGCAGATAAACAGGCAAAAACACAAACAAAAAACAACAACAACAAAAACGCTGCGAAATAAAGGATAAAGCAACACTGAAACCAAAGACTCCCTAAAACTATACTACCCAATGCAAAGAACATCAGTGTCTGGCAGCATATGCGACGCCGTCTCGGCAAAGCGGGATTTGCAACGCCTTTAGACGAGCTTCCCAGAGCCGCTCTGTTAAGGCACAAAACGTAACGGCATCAAATTCACTAGGAAAGTTTCTAATTACATCATACTCATGCTTTAGCAACAATTTTTCGGATGCATCTCCCATGACAGTGGAACTCGAGGGTGGAATCACTGTCAGATCGTGCATATGCACAAACTGGTAGATCTGATTGGGAGAGACTGTAAAGACTTGCAAGGTGTTTGGCCTCACGATAGGATTCGGTATACCCATCACGTACGGCGGACCATCATCGACTACTTCAAGCGCTATGGAGGGAAGCAGTGAGACGACGTCTTTGAAAGACAAAACCTCCTTCAAGGCCAATGATTCATCTCCCCATGTCTTTTCATTATCCTCCAATTTATCCATCGTCTTTTTCTTCTCGCTCTTTTCCTTGAAAATGGAGCCAAAAATTTCATTTTCCACCACACTTCTGAAATACAGACCATGTGACGTCGCCCACAGTACACCCCAGTGCCGTTCGCCATGTGAGAGGAGTGCACATGACACACTCGCCACAACACAGCTCTTTCTGACTTCCAGTTGACGCGAAAAGCAGTGCGCAAAGGCTGCTTGAGACCATTTAATACGCCCTTTTTTGTAGTAGTCCTGGACACGCTTCATCCAAGATTTCAGATTGCCCAACGTTCCTTGATTCGCCGAAACGGAAACCATGACAATGGCAAAAAGGGTCTGGTAGCTAAAAGGGTGCGGGGCCACAGAGTACGTCAGAGTGGCGGCATTTCCTGAGGACTCCGTCTTCTCCGAGAGACTCGCCCCGTTCTCTTGCATATGCACGCCGTCAAGTGGCTTAAGGAGTGATTTAGTGGGGGAACTGCAAAGAGAGCATGGAGCAATAAAAACAAAACCAAACAAAACATACCCACATACACCCAAAAAAGGAGACAGTAATGCTACAAAAAGATACAAAACAACCACACACACAATTGCAGAGAGAGATAGGGAGAGGGAGAAAATAAAGCTACAGTGCGGCAGCAAATAAATGAGAATTTTCATCCTTGCCTCTCATTGCGAGGGGAACAGGCGCATGCATGAGTGCAGGCGTTCCGCAACACAAATAAATTCTGTCATTTTTTTTTTTTCCTTTTTCTTTATTTTCTTAACTATCACCTCTCCTTCACAAACTTCAATTATTTTCTTTTTTTTTGTCGTTGTTGATGCCACATACACACACAACAACATCAAAATATAAACTGCCGGTGAGCCCTTCTCAGCCCCCACGTACTCCGACCGATTCAAGCGCCTGTTCAAATGTTTTGGAGGTTATGACAGCCCGCCCCTCCGTGTCCCTCTCAGCAGCCATCTCCAAGACAAGTAAAAGCTGCTTCATCGGCAAAGACATCGGGAGGAGGTCCACGCAGCAGTGCAAATCCGCTTGGGTTGCAAATGGGAGCTCAAGTTCGTTTGCGACCAATGACAGAGCCTCGGGAGGCACTCGTGGAAGCGTCATCTTCACGGAAAAGCATGAAACCATCTCGAGACTATCCAACACATCATACAGCGCAGTTGTGCCAATCACAAGTAGTTTCCGGCCCTCCGGCGGTGGCCGCTTTATAAGTACTAGTAATGCTTGCAGGATGGCATTGCTGTATCGACCCCCCAGGTGAGAGAATTCAATAATGCGTTCAATGTCATCGAGAATAATAACACTTGTGGGAGACCTGTAGGCATCCTCAAATGCCTTTCGAATGATATTGACCTTTTGTAACTCGCCATAACTAACCATAACTTCGCTAGAGATGACCTTGACGTAAGGGAATTCGGCCTTTTCTGCAAGGTACGCCGCCACCGCCGATTTACCCGAACCCGGCAATCCTTCAATAAGTACACTAAGCAGATGGATGCGTTTACCCTCACCCTTAAGCAACTCCACATAACGACTGCAACAGCTCTCCACTCCTTCCCATGGTTTACCGTAATAAATGATACCGTCGCCCTTGAGATTGCTACACTCTTCCTTTGCCTGTCCAAACGCAGGTTCCACCTCTTCAACGGCCCGAAGAAAATCCTGACGCGTTACAAACACATCCTGTGCATTGACCACCTCCGTTGGGTGGTCCAAGTCTATGTGTTTATTAAAGGCATTGGATATCGCCGAGCGTACCACACCCTCAATCTCGGCACCGGAATAGTTCTTTGTTAGACTGGCAAGCTCCGCCAAGTTAACGTCTTTTCCAATGATGCCGTTCTCACGCATGCCGCGGGTATGGATACGGAAAATTTCCACTCGACCCTCTTCATTTGGGAGGCTGATCTCCACATGCACCTCAAACCGACCCGGGCGCAGAATGGCCTCATCAATGAGATCCATTCGATTGGTCATGCCAATAAGGAGGACGTTGTTCAGCGAATTCACCCCATCGATTTTTGCGAGAAGTTGATTCACCACGTTGTCATTCACACCCGTGGAGTCACGAACAGCACCACGCTGCTTACAAATGGCATCAAACTCATCAAAAATGATAAGGTGCAGCTTTGAAAGGTCACCCTTTGCCGCAGCCTCGGCCTCGGCATCCAAAAAGAGTTTCCGCACATTTTCTTCGGTTCCACCAACAAATTTATTAAACACCTCGGGGCCATTGACAATCTTTGGTGGATGGCAGTTTAGGATTTCACCAATTTTTCGGGCAATCAGCGTCT